CTGGCCCTGGCTGTGGAGCTGAAGCCCCGGATTTGGCACCAGTTGATGTGGATATGAACCTGGTGGCCAACCTGCTGGAATCCTACAGTGCTCAGGCTGGCCTGGCAGGACCCACCTCCAACATTTTACAGAGCATGGGAGTGTATTTACCTGAAAACACAGATCACTGTGCCTCGAGCAGTTGAGCAGCACGGTGAGAGACTGTATGAACTGAGAAGACATGGCTGGTGGAGAACTGAAGCACAGACAGACCAGCAGGACGTGGAAGAAGACACAAAAGGTTTTAACTTAGGGCATTTTATGCATTGTGTGTGACTTTAGAGATGCAAAGTGAATCTACCTGCAAAAGCCTTCTGTTTGGATGCTAAGGTGGAAATCAGAGCTTTCCAGTGCTAACACAGAAAACTGAGAAATGATGTTGGGACCTGAATGAGACTTTTTTTACAAAACCTGTCTTGGATTTTTCAAACCAATGATCCGATCATTATAATGATGCCATCATTATAAAATGCCCTTTTACCTTTTACTGGGTGGTTTCAGTATCTGGAAAGCGGTTTGTGTTCTGAAAATGCTGCTGCCTTCAGGGGCAGCTGGGGAAACACCGTGTTACAGGAACATCTCGTGGACTTGGGAACGCTGGTTAAACGCTCAGCAGACATTTGATCCTTCCCAAAAGCACAGTGCTTCATTGTAAGAACTTCTGATAATTACTGTAAGAGTCTGGACCTTATTAACCAGGAGGGTTTGCAGAGTAATTGGATCAAATATGTAAATATTGGCTAGAAGTATTTTTTGAGTTTTATTTCAGTAAAAGCAGAAATACAACTTGGTGACTGGAGATGGTTTTTTTCTTTTCCTTTGAAGGTATGCAGGACTTCCTCAGTGCAGTATCAGAACTTCTTGGAGTTAAAGCATTTTCACAACTTGGCATTGTCTGAATTCCATTATTGCTGGATGTTGGCATCATGCCAGCAGTAGCTGTGTGTGAGCTGAACAGTTTAGGTTTGTTTTGCAGTGAAAATGTAGCTGGAAGGCGTGTGCAGCGTGGTGCTTTCACATGGAATCAGAAATCTGGTCTAGATATGATGACTTTACCTTTAACAAGATACATTTGAATTAAAATTCTTGATTTGCAGGCAGTAAGAACACAGTCCTGCCAGGTCTGAATCAAGCTGTTTGTTTGTTTTAATTCAACAATTAATCAAGTGCCTGAACTGGTAGAAGAGAAGCTCATTGGTTGAGTTTTTGTTTGTTGTTTGTTTGTGTGTTGGGTTTTTTCAAACATAGTGTTCAATGACACAAAAGCCTGACTGACCCTGAAACCTGATTGCTTTTAGAGGACTGAGTTATTATTATTAATGTTATGTTATTACTGGTCTAAATATTGGAATACAATTAGTTGAATTCTTTGGCTTAATATCTTTTTTTTTTTTAATGTCAAGTGTTGGCATTATTTTAATTGCCAAAGCAGAATGTAGCATAAGTTGTTTCCATGTAGGGCTTGGACACTTGCTGGATGCTGAGTTTGTGCCTGACTGCCATGACAACCAATGCACAGAAAATTCTGGCACAGCTTGGCATAGTTTCACTGAAATCCAGGACCTCGACAAGGTACAGTGGCTGCTTGGCTTCCCAGCTTCTGCTGACCTGTGCCCCTGGGTCTCTCCTTTTCCAAATGTTTGCTTGCTTTTGCAAATGACAAAAAGCTGGTAAAGTGCTCCAGTGTAAGATAAATATTGGAGATTCTGCACGTGAAACGTGGTTGAAGGGTTGGATGTGCTGCCTCCACATCTGTCCTCTGCTGATGTTGTGCCACTGACTTTGTCAGCAGCTGGGGGAGAATGCTGACAAATGGGGTAGGGATTAGAGATGGACAGCAAGAATGGGAAGGATGCTGCTAAAGTTCAAGGTGGGCTGCAGATCCAGTTAGACAAATTACACTGGGACATTCAGGCTAACAGGACTCCTGGGACCCTGCAGACACGGAGAGCCAGTGGTTAGTCATGGAAAACAGATGTACCTGAGCCTTGAAAAGGGCTTATGTCTGAGCAGGGAAGGTACTTGGAAAAGTCTCCACTGATGAGTACTTAAATCAAAGTTAGATACTGTAAAAATAATTGAGTTTCAAGAGGATGATCACATTCCACTCTCTGGTACTGCACAAAAGGTCCAAACAGAAGGAAGGACTTTTCTGTTGTAGGATGTGAAGAAAACTTCTCAGCTAATGTTCAGAACAAAGCTGCTCTTTTGGAAGCACTTCAGCTGATCTTGGTGGTTGGATAATCTCACTTCTCCATCAGTGAGACTGTGGTTTCTATTCCAGCTATTTACATTTGTTCAGCAGCTTCACAGTGAAGGCCTTCAAGGCTCTGGAATCGCTCACAGGAGAGTTTGCCATTGAAGGATAAGCATTTCCATGCTGCCTCTTCACTGCTTTGAAGTAACATACGAGGCATCTCTGCTTTTAATTTTGGGAGTGTTTTTGGTGAGGGAGGCCTGATGGAATTAATTAGGGAAGACAAGTGCAGCGTGGTTCCCTTTCAACGGATTGCTATCAAAGTTTTCATTATATTCCAAAGCAGTTTGACTGGAAGTGCATTCCAACACAATTTACTCACTTTGCTCACTTGAGCAGCTGCCTTTTTGTGTAGCCTTGTTCATCCTGGAACTTGTGACCCTTCCCAGCAATGTGGTTTTCTTCTTCGAGCTTCACCCCTGAAGCCTGT